AAATTTAAGAAAAGATGGAGAGCTAGTAAGGGAAGCATCTGACATGGACCTCTGGCCTACATACAAATACACCAGGTTGTTAGGGTTTCTTCATAGGCCTAAGCAAGTGAGAATTCATGTCCCTCAATATATCATCCATTTTCATGGAAATCCACCACAGTCCCCCACACAGCCATAGACCGTGAGATCCATCAGAGGTCATCTGTGTCTGTGACTTTTTGCCTGTTCCTTATAGCTACCAGCCCTTGCTACCCTCCTAGCTCTTATTCCCAGTAGCAAATGCAGCCAGACCCTTTAAACTGTAGCAACTCAAATGAATTTCATTTCACGTAAAAAGCAGCAAAGAGGTCATTTTTTACAGTTTCTTCTTTGCAAAGAGAGGTAAAAGAGGCTGAAGGCTGAAGGTGTTCTTGGTTGTAGGGCACTTGCTCAGCTTGCATGAGACCCCAGGGACTTGCTCCGCATGTGTAGACCCTGGGCTTCAGCCCTCTGCCCCAAGAAAGAGTCCAAATATCTACCCACCTAACATTAATACATCAAAGAGAAGTATGAAAAGCAGCAAAAAGCAAGGACCGGGAGGAATGTCTGTTTAGTCTACAGTCTAATCTCTGTTCATTCTGGAACGCTCCTGTACTTTACAGAGACTGCCTCTAGTCTGGACTATCAGCCTCTAAATGGATTTGTTTTGAAAGGTAAAAAAGGGGCATGAAAAAAAAAATTCCAAATGCACCATGGGCCACTTTGTCACACATAGAGCAGGAAGAGTCAGTCTGTAGTACTTATTGAGCACCTGCTGTATATGAACACTCCTGTGTACCGAGCACCATAGTGGACATCACTAGGGGCTGCCCTGTAGGTCCTTCCTGGTTGCAGAAACAGGTGCCCATGGAGAAAGTTAGACAACAGATTTGTAGCAAGCAAGCTCTTGCAGGAATTCAGAGGCTGGATTGGGCAGGTGTCCCCAAAGTGGAGAGGACCTACCTCCTTGGAGCTCTGGAAGCTAGAAGTATGTGACTGGCATTGGGAAGCCAGGGATGGGGGAAAGAACACAAGGCCTGGGAAGAAGTCTGTGGAAGAAGGGAGCTAGGCAGGAAGAAGACTGGGCTAGGGAACCCCTGGAAACAGGAAGAGTGGCAGGGAGCCGATATGCAGGAACCTGAACTCAAATGAAGGGTTTGGGTTTCCCTGCAGCGGTGTGGAACAATGAGTACAGTTAAACTGCCAGTGGGGCCTGTCAGTGTACTGATAGATTCGGCTGCTCATAGGATGCTCATAGAGAAGGCAGAGAAACCGAGAATTCCCCAGCAACCCAAGATGACTAGTTAATTTTTTGCTTATTGTTTCTTCTGTTTTTATTCCTAAACCTATTTCTTCAAACATGGAGCCAATGTATTTCTTTCTCTCACAATTCCATACCCTGAGACTCGTACGGTCTGTGAGAATAACACATTTACTAGTTAGATAAAATTTTACTTATTATTAATGATTATTCTCTATTGAACTTTAAGTTACTTAACTGATTAGGTAACTAATTAATAATACTACAGTCAATATCCTAGTGTATAAATATTGGTCTGCATGATCCTAATTAAGTCATGCAATGAAATTAATTATATACAAAATATTTTTAGGAACTGATATATATTGACACACTGCCCACAACTCCAATGCATGGCCCCATACACATGTGGGTAGCACCGACTAAACTCAGAGAGTTAAAAATAAACAAATAAAAATTATAAGAGGAGGACATACAATTGGACGGGAGGTGTGATAGGTGTCCTGGGGAGAGTTGGAGTAGGGGAGGGAGGTGTGGATTTTATCAAGATGCATTGTATACATGTATGACATTTTCAAATTAAATATTTTTTGAAGCTTGCCAGTTTACACGTTTCCCAGCAGTAAGTGAAAGGCCTGTTTCCTGCAGAGGCACCTTAGAACACAGCTCCTTAAACCTTGGGTTGCAGTCTCACATAAGGTCATATGGTTCGGATGTTGGGGGTTGTGAAAAATTTGGCTGCAGTAGAAGATTCGTGACTGTACCATAATCTAGAATGAATTCAAAGTCAAACACACGTGAATCCGACTCCGGCCTGTATATGTCCACTCTGCCTGCACATGCTATCACACTGCATAGCAACCATGACTGCCTGAGAACACCGACTCAGAATCAAGACGAATGTGTGCTGCTTCCTGCAGGGATTTACCAGGACACACAAAGGGCTCTGCTCTTATAAAGACCAGTCCTTCTCGTATTTTACCTACCATCATTCCTGAGCTTATAAGCATCCGATTTGGGATTGTGTTCTGTCCAGAACATTTGATTTCTAAAATTGCTATTTGAATTGCTGACTTAAGGTTTATTTTTAAAATTGTTAAATGAATTTTGGCTTGGGTTTAGGACAGAACTTCCAACATGGCCGTAAACATCCTTCTGCCATTTTGTACTGTATATTTGTGCAAAGTGATGTTCTTAGCATTGACAGTTACAAGATCAAAATATTGATCAACTCTGAAAAACATTGAAGATGCTCTATGTTCTGCAGAATGAAAACATGCAGCTGAGACTTAATGCTTTGTGTAAAAATAAGCGTATCCATTTCACTAGGATGCAAATTTGCTTTCATAGTTAATAAGTGGCAAAATTATTTTTATAGCAAATAATTGTTTTAAGATAAATTTCCTTATGATTTATTATCAGTAAATATTTAAGTTTAGACGTATTTTACATGCCCATATACCAGGGGTCACATAAAAAATTCCTCAGACAAAAGGGGGTCAAGATTGGGAAAAGCTTAGGAAGCCCTGCCCTAGAGTCAAGTATTTTTTAAAAATCTTTGCTAATTGAGAAGCGAAAAATAAATTCATGAAATTGCATCTCAGTAACCATTTTTATTATATGAATCTGAATTTTTCAAAATATATTTTTGTTAATAAATGTTTCTTTGAAATATCTCTATTTTGGCTCATTTTTATCTTTGCCCAAAGAAATTATTATCTCGTTTTCTTCAGTACCAAAAATAAATAAGTAAGTAACAAAATAAATCGAAGGACACAAGAAGCTGGGCTATGGTAGCCATGGTGGTGTGTGTAGATCCACCCACTTGTGAGGCAAAGGCAATAGATTGCTGGAGCTTTGGAGTTCAAGCCAGCTTGAGCAACATAAGGCAGATGCTATTGGAAAAAAGAAAGAAAAGGAAAAAGGAAGGAAGGGGAAAAGGGAACAAAGGAGGGAAAAAAAGAAAAAGAAAAGCCCAGCAGTTAAGACCAGACCGAGAGAGAGAGAGAGAGAGAGAGAGAGAGAGAGAGAGAGAGAGAGAGAGAGAGAGAGACTGGGCCTGGTGTAGGCTTTTGAAGCCTTAAAACCACCCACACCTACTCCAGGAAGGACACACCTTCTAATTCTTCCCAAATGGTTCCACCAACTAGGGACTAAATTTGCAAAATAGTGAGCCTATGGAGGCCATTTGCATTCAAACCACCACATCATGCCTGATTCATAAAATGAACTTTATCATAATTCTGTATGAGTAGAAAAAGTGTGATACACAACTCCATATTCTTTGCGGTTTCAGTCATCCACCAAGGGTCTCGGGACGCAGCGCTTGCAAATCACAGGGAGCTGCTGCAGAAGAAGCTGGCCCTGCTTTAGAGAGCTGCGAGTGCTTTTATAAATAATCCCCCATGGCAGTAAAGAGCATCTATTTCTCTCACTTCTTTTCGCCTAGTTATTACTCATGTAAAAGACAAATGTTCTTTCAGAGAAACAGATGTCTGGACTGAGCCTAAGAAAGGATCTCACAATCCTATGCCTCTTTTTTGGTGGAAAAAAAAATAAAAATAAAAAGCATGTCCTGATTTTGTAAATGGAACACTTACTGAGTTGGAAAAATTCAAAACAAAACACTAGTAAAATCTGACCATAAGCTTGCTTCATTTTTGAAATCAGGAATGGATGTGTTAACCTCAAGGGTGCCAGCATCCATAAAGGAAATAGACGTTCTGATCATATGGACTGACTTTCCTAAATAGAAACTGTTTAGAATAAGCACAGAGCCCACGGAGATGGGTTTTTCCTGCCCTGTTCTTTAGGAGCCACACATGAATCCCAGGCTCCCCCTTGAACTTCATCTGCTGGACTCACATTCTCACACAGCGGTGAAGGGCAACCACATCTGTGCAGCACCCTCTGTGAGCAGAGAAACATTCAGGGAGGACCAGTTCATCCAAGTGTCTAACTTGGCATGACAGCTTGAATTGGAGCCTTTGCCGCCATTACGACCGGGATCACAGCTGTGTCTAACTAGCCTTCTACGTGAACATGCTGCCAAGGATTCTGGGGCTATAGATGCTCCTAAGCTGGAAGAGGCTTTCTTGTAGCCCCATTCAACCAGTCTTGGGAAAAGAGTTTGCTGCTTCCCCAGAAGACTCTAGGGAAGCTGTGGGTTTTCATGGCCCATCCCTATCACTGGAAACTGGGTCTACGTACCCACCCTCTTAGTTGGAATAGGACAACTCACCTTACCAGCTAAGCATCAGTAGGGGCTCATGAAGGCATAACTTTTACTTTATTCAGTGCAGCTCTAACATCAATAGATGGCCTGTGGCTGTCAATCATTACATGCTTGTGGAAGAAAAGAAAGAGGAAGGGAGGGAAGGAGGGAGGGAGGAAGGAGGGAGGACAGTGAAAGGCAACATAGACCAGTACTCTAGACTAAATAGTAGTTTGCTGTTGTTCAACGTGGGTTTTGTTGTTGGTTTGATTTTGGTTCTGCTTTTTTTAGAGACAAGGCCTCATTATGTAATCAAAGCAAACCTAGTTTGTAGTGATCCTCTTGCCCCAGCCTCCCAATTGCTGGAGTTACAGGTATGAGCCATCATACGTAGGCAGTAGTCTTTATCAGTTAAATTTCGGATCTTAGCAATATGAAAAGTTTTATATGCCTTGGATATGGATATGTATTTATTTACCTATCTTTTTTTTTTTTTTTTTTTTTTTTTTTTTTTTTTTTTTTTGGTTTTTCGAGACAGGGTTTCTCTGTGGTTTTGGAGCCTGTCCTGGAACTAGCTCTTGTAGACCAGGCTGGTCTCGAACTCACAGAGATCCGCCTGCCTTTGCCTCCCAAGTGCTGGGATTTAAAGGCCTGCGCCACCACCGCCCGGCGTATTTATCTATCTTGAACTACAGAAAAAAATAAACCAACATAAAAAGTTACTACAAAATAAAAATTTACAAAAAAAAGAACGTTATGAATTACCTGCTTCACATCCTGGACTCCCTGAGACTGGAAAGGAAGCCTGGTGTTGTTTCCTTCGGTGAGTTGCTGAGGTTGAGATGAGAAGTGGGTGGTGGGGGAGGTGACCGTATGTAAGACCCAGGATGCTAATGTTCACCTTTGAGAAATCACACTGCATTGGGCGAGGGGGGCAGACCACTGAAGCATAGATAATGTGAGTTTTTCTTACATTTTCTTTGGGTTGGGGTCTTATGGAAATTCATGTTCCTGAGGAATGTCTGAAAAGAAGTCAGCTACACCCAAGCCTCCTTCTAGCCCTAAAGTCACATGGCTCTAGGGGCAGCTGGTCTTTTCTAAAGCTGGCCTTAAGGAAAAGAAAATCTGAGTGGAGAATCAAGCCACCTACAGCAATTAGTTAGGTTTTCCTTCCTAGACAGCCCTGCCTTCAGTACTCTGTATACACCATAAATATGCGTTCTAGGCCACCGCACGGCAACAATTAAGCCATTACTAAGCTATTGTGGGTACAATAATGAAACACTTCAGAGACGGTCAAACCTCATTAAATCAGAAGGAAGTCTAATCAAAATCAGAGAAAATTTGGCCCTGGCATTTCAAAGAGAGAGGCGACACCCCAACTAGCAGGTTGCACGCCAACAGCCACCTCTGCAAGGGCCATTTTAATAAACTGGAAGAGGAGAGGAACTTAATGAACTGTGTATACAAAGGCACAGAACATTCAGCCAAACCATTTTCCCCTGCTCCAGCCCCTGCTCCAGCCCCTGCTCCATCCAGCCCCTGCTCCGTGTTTTCATACTCACTTGTATGTCTTTAACGAAATGGGCTTCTTCAACTGGCTGATGTGGGCTTGTTGATTCCGAATAAGGAGTGTCTGAGCTTGCTGAGTCTCCACTGAAGGTCAAACCCATCACTTTCCCATTCACTACGAGCCAGGTACGTGCAGCCAACCCTCGCTTACCCACTTACTTGTGCAGCTTTCATCTTGACACTTCAAGGAGGCTGATATGATGGTTTAGGTTGGGGTTGGGTTTTCTGTTTTTGTGTTTTGAGACAGAAACTTTGTGACTTTGTAGCTCAGGCCTCCCTCACCCTTTATCCCAAGTGCTGTGTGTGCCTACCTTCTCTGGCTTTGGGAGTTTAGTTTCTAAATTCAGTCTCATTTCTTCCTTGCTTCCCAGGCTCTGAGCTCTTCATTCAATCCGCTTGCCTCCCAGTTGCCAACCCCTGAGCTGCTAGAAACACAAAATGCAAATTTTTGGCCATAATCATCCACATAAACCCAGTCAATCCCAGCAGTGAAATCCAGAGGCAAGTGGGAATTTTTACAAATTGCCTAGTTTGCAGATTTACCCGTGAAGATCCCCTTCACCCTTACTGAGGACCACAGCAGCTGTAGGCCAGACAGCCTAGCCTGATGGGCAGAAAGTTAGACATGCCGAAATTCAGCCTCCGCTCTACCTGTGGTGTAAGTCCATCCCCTAAGCTTTTGTTTCCTTATTGGTAAAACTGAAAGGATGCACGCAAAGAGCTGGACATGCTGCCCAGGACATGGGGCAGATGCAAATATAAGAGCTACTGGCAGCAGAAACTCTCGAATTCCTTACAAGGAGATACTGTGCTCAGCCTCTTCTTAATAAGAGACAGAGAGGACGAAATTCTCTTCCATCTCTCTGCTTCTGACCTGTGAAGAGAGTATAGAAAGTGCTCCTATCCAAGTGACAAGTAATAGTTAAAATATTTGATAATCCCGCGAGCCACCCCGTAAATCAGACCTCCCACTTGGGAGCTGATTCTTGAAACAGCACAGCTGTCTCCAGAGGGCTTCGTATGAGGAACCTCTGGAAACTAGGCCAGGCCAGGTGGATTGTCCAACACGTAAAGCAACTGCTGGAAGCCTGCCAGAGCTGCTGATCAGAAGAATGAGGGAAGCCTGGGATGTAGGAGGAGTAAGCAGGGAGTGGGGCAAGCACCATTTAACTCAGCTCAACACCTCAGAGGCTCAAGACTCCTGCCCCACTGCTCATCACCAGCAGCCTGACTTTCCAAAGGAATCTCTTTCCAAAAGCTTTAAGAGAAGCTGGCTTTGGGAACCGGAAATGCAGGTTCTTCCAGAAGGTGCTGCAAAGAGTTGTTTGGATTTTCTAATCAGATCCCAAAGTCTCTGCCATCAAAAGTGTCGCTGAAGTAGAAGCCTTGGACTTGAGCTGCGAAAGAAAGCCTCCACAGGCCTGTTTTCCTCTCTGCTGGTTGTACAACTACTTCACACAGTTGCAACGATAAAGTCAGCTGACTTGCAAAACGCATTTAGATCACGTGATGCGTACTCACTAAATAAGTTGTGATTATCTTCAAGTCTGTGAAGTCACAGATTAGGGCCTTCAGATGGCTGCAGTGAGGAACCTAAGCACCCAAGAAGAGTTGGGACTTACACAAGAGCCCTGTGGTCAAGAAGAAGGCAGTCGAGGGACCAGGGTCTTGAGGCCCTTACAATGGTTATGTGTGGCATTAAGAGCTTACAGGTTTCAAGGGCTTCCTGGGAGTTAGCTCAAAAATAGCTATCACTTCCAGTCTATCCAAGAAGAAACTTGGACCCAGGAAAGCAAGGGCATTTACTTAGCAAGACTGATGTCACTTCCTTTTTCTACCATTGTATCCCTTCTTGTGGCCCCTGTCTGATGCTATGCCCAGAAAATGAGTTCCCTTTGTAAGCATAATGTTTGTCAATAATTTTCATCTTAAACAAAGCACCGCAGGGCAGTGGTGCATGCCTTTAATCCTAGCACATAGGAGTCAGAGACAGACAGATCTCTATGAGTCCAAGGCCAGCCTAGTCTACAGAGCTAGTTCTAGGACAGACAAGGTTACACAAAGTAACCTGTCTCAAAAAACCTAAATAAATAAATAAAATGCCAAAAGACTCACACAACAGAAAAGAAAAAAGGCCTAAAATATATTCCTCCAAAGAGCACCATCCTTCCCTCACCCTGACTCCCTGAGAAATCCCAGTTCCCTAGAGCATTTGGCCAATGTCTCCTTGGAGGCCCCTCTGAACACTGATACTCTTCTATTAACTCCTGAATCAAGAAGTGTGTATTATGTAGGGGAGGGGACAACTCGGGTGACCCGGGGAGAGAGACTGGTACCAACACTTCTAGTATTCATGAACATAGGAATTGCTTCTACCTAGGCAAGTAGTTCAGAAAGAAGCCTTCACTGGTCATTGGTCAAAAGCATCACCTCAGCTCCCTAACATCCCTTTATACAAAAAGTCCAGATTGTTTGGCTGGGGGGCTTCACCCCAGCTCCTGGTATAAGCCCCCTCCCCTGAGAGTTGCCTTAGTCCAAACTCCACCTCCGAGAAAGCCCGCCAAACTGTAACCCCTTTCCAAAGAAGGTCAAGACCACCCCTACAGGCTATTTAAACTGCCCCCAGAAAATGAACACAGGGTCTTCCCTTCTCTCTCTTTCCCTCTCCACATTTTTCCCTGGGCCATCCAGGAGTATTGCATTAAACATGGGCATCTTTTATTCGGTCTGATTTGGTTTGATTGGAATTATTTGTGTTGGCAGGGAGATTTGGCGTCTAAGACAAAACACCTAACATTTGGAGGTTCCGCCAAGATGGGGGTCTGTTTTTCCCACGGGCCCAGGCCATGTGTGGGAAAAACACCCTTCTCACACATGCTCTCTGCCAGGCTAAGATTGTCTTCATCTTAGTGAGTTCCCCTTTGTGAGTACATGCACCTAGGGTCTGGGGTGCGGGCGGGGCCGGGGGGGCGGGGTGCGACAGGACACATTTGTAGTTCCTTATTTTTGATTTTCAGGCCTTCCGTGGAAGTCATGATCATCCCAAATGTCCATTCAAGCTGCTAGCCAGGCCCCACTGAGATGGAACTGAGTGCATAGAGATGTCTGCCACTCATTTCTCATGACCTCCCCCCCCCCCCCCCCCCCCCCCCCCCCCCCCCCCCCCCCCCCCCCCCCCCCCCCCCCCGTTTTTGACTCAAGATCTCTGTCCCGGTAGACCCCTTGCGACGGGCTTGAGTCTTAAGATTTGGCATGGGCTTTTAAATGGGTTCTTGTGATTTGAAGCCAGATCCTCAAATGCCCTTGGGCTACCTTTTACTAAAAAAAAAAAAAAATCCTTTTAAATTGGGGCTAATGTAAAGCCCATGGTTTCTAGAGGCCTGCTCCCGTCCCCACTCCCATTCCCCACTGCCCTCCCTACTTCTCTGTTTGTTCTCTACAGTGGATCCAGATCTCTCTTCCCTGTCCCCTGTCCTTTCTAAAACTCTACAGGTGTTCCTTCTTTGTTTTTGTTTCTTCTTGCAGTGTCTGCTAATCTGGTCCTTCATGGAACCACCCTGTGTTCTTTCCTGGCTTCTGCCGCCTACCTACACAGGGATTTTTAAGTTGGCCAGCTGACACAGGTTCTCATCTCTCACTGTTTGTTCTCTACAGTGGATGCAAATCTGCTTCCCCCTGTTCGTCTACTCTAAAACCATATAGTTCCTTCATCCTTTTGTTCTTGTTCCCCCTTGCAGCATCTGCTAAGCCAGTCCTTAACAGGACCACCTCTGTGCTTCCCTGGCTTCCGCCGCTTGCCAGAAAGCTTTTATTTGTCTGTTAGGATAATGTGGCCACAGTATGATTGTTTTATGTCTATGTGAGTATGTCAGTGCATTTTCATAGTATGTTTGCTTTATGTCTCTGTGTGTATATGTGCATGTTTTAAGATCTGTAAAACTTACAACTCCAGATTATAACAGCTCTGAAAAAAATACAAACACGTAGGTAACCCCATTTTGACCCCACCACCACCTTGGGTAAGAGTACCCACATATGTTAATATTCTTTAGCTTATTAAAATATTCCTTTTAATCTTCTTACATTTACTAGTATTGGTAAGCTGTAACTATTGGGTAGAATAGATGTCTAAATTTAACTAATGGGCAATTAATTGTACCTAATTCTCAAGTACCTTTACAGATCTGAGAGTATGGCATTTAACAAAAGAGCTTCTAACACAGAGACATGCCAGCTTCTGCAGCATCATGTAGCTCCTCCAATAAGATATGTAGTTGCTAAAGACCTTCTACTTCAAGGCTTGCCTTTGGGTTTGGCAAAGCTACCCACACATCAAAAAGTGGCCGTTCCAACCATTTCTTGGATGCTTCACCTGGAAAATTGATCTTCTCATCCTGCCAAGACAGGTAGACTAAATCTTCCCCCCACAGGAAATGTTTGGGCCTCTTGTACTCAGCAGCTAACAGCAAGCACTGCTTCTATGCTGGTGTTCTCCAAGGACTAAGGAGAGACTTGGCATTGCCTGCATAGCTATCTGCTCATTTATCCCTCCCAGATCTGTCTGATGGCATTTGATGACTTAAGGAACTGGTAGCTCATTACTTGATTTGTTAAGTTTCCTGCTAAAATACAGAGAGGTTTGCCTCTTTCACAGGCTTCATAGTCCAGAACTAACAGGTTTCATATATAGCTTTAAAAAAAAATCCAGAGTTCCCAATTCCCTTGAACAAGATACCTGCAGGTTCCTGAAAAAAATTCTGCTGCGTTATCAAGAAATCTGGTCTGGTAAAGACTAACAGTCTCCAGGGTGTATTTTAGCCCCACCCATTTTAAAGCAGATTTTACAGGCACACCTGCTGTCTGGGCCAAGACCAACTTACAAAGTCCTCTCCAGACAATGCCAACACCGACACCAGCTCCTGGAACTTCACCATTGGTACCAACTCTCTTGGATCAAGGACACCTACCAACTAAAATCTGGTTTTATCTGCTATTGTGTCCCACTTATAACTCGAGCCTCACCTATACAACCAGGACACTTCTCTGTCCCATTTTTTCTGGCAGTTCATGGCTCTTCCCACAGCTAGCCCCATCCACAGGGCCAATAATAATAATTTTTTTTTCTCCTAGCCACCTGCCTTCTCATCTCTCTCTCAAAAAAAAAAAAAAAAAAAAAAAAACAGCTGCCTGACATCTGCAGGATGACAGTAAACCAGATGCTGCTCCAGCCACACCTCTCACTGAGCGTGAGTCCACCAACTCCCAGCTCTCCCCTCTCCCACGTCACCCCATGCCTGCAGGAAACAGCCAGACTTGAGCCAGTACCCCTTTGTCCAAGGAGTCTAAAATGTTTGGTTGAGGGACTTCACCTCAGCTCACTTGGCACCTCTTTATACAGAAAGTCCAGATGGTTTGGCTGAGGGGCTTCACCCCAGCTCCTGACATAAGCCCCTTCCCCTGGGAGTTGCCTTAGTCCAAACTCCACCTCTGAGAAAGCCCACCAAATGGTAACCACTCCCTAGGGAAGGTCATGACCACTCCCACAGGCTATTTAAACTGCCACCCCCCCAGAGAATGAACACGTGGTCTCTGGGTTTTGCATGGTCTCTCCTTCTCTTTTCCCGTCTCCATGCTTTTCCCAGGTCCACCTGGGAATAAGGTAATCTATTAAACATGGGCATCTTTTATTCAGTCTGATTCAGTTTGATTGGAATTATTTGTGTCAGCAGAGAGGTTTGGTGTCTAAGACAAAATACCTAGCAGTCATGAAGCCATATCACTGAGGAACTCACGACATCATTCTATTAGGAGACAAAGAAAAGAGGCTGGGGATGCAGCTCAGTGGTCCCTTCTCTAGCACACTGGATGCAAGACCCTGCATCCAATCCCCAACGCCACAAAGAACAGACAGAAATAGGATTAGGAGACAGCAGGAAGGGAGAGACGGGGGGGGGGGGGGGGGGGGGGGGGGGGGGGGGGGGGGGGGGGGGTTTAGGTGGTGGAGAATGAATAAAGAATAAAGGAAGGAAAAGAATCTCACAAAAGCTGAGTCACTGGGGAAACAGAGGCAAAGGGGTGTGCAGGTATTCACAAAGACTTCTAAGCCACCAGGCTGGGAAAATTCAGTCAAGAGAAGATGAATAGGGTGAAATAGATTGCAAGTACCCCTGAGTACAAAGGATAAAGCTCTTGTCATCTGTAGAAGGGTTAGTTTGGCAAGAAAGCATTGTTCTAGCTGCTGAAGAGAAGGGGAAGCATTATAACTACAGGAGAGACAGAGACAGAGACAGAGACAGAGACAGAGACAGAGACAGAGACAGAGAGAAGAGAGAGAGGAGAGAGAGAGAGAGAGAGAGAGAGAGAGAGAGAGAGAGAGAATTTCTAGCCTTTTGTAGAGCATCTGGTTTACCTAAGTGAGAAAAATATTTTTCTTTCTTTAACATGGCCTCGTGTTTCCCATGTTGGCCTCACACTCACTATTTGCAGACCTTCTACCACTTGCACACCAGCCCCCTGCTGGGATTACAGGCGTGGTTTACCATACCTGGCTTTATACAGTGCTGGAGATCAAACCCAGGGTATCAGGTGTGCTAGGCAAGCAGCCTGCCAACTGAGCTCCATCCCCAGGCACCAAGTAAACAAATCATTAGTGGGTATCGACCAAGGGCCCAGCACAGGGAGCTCTAGGAGGAATTTGATGGCTGCCACTCACTGAAGCATCTCCACCCTGGGACAGAGGTAGACTCTGTTCGCTGGGCAGGGTGACTCATCTGAGATGGCTAAGGACAAGTTCTGGTCAAGCCCAGAAAACATTTCTCTCATCCGTTTCCCCAAAGCTCAAAGCGTTGTCTTTGCAGTCGAAAGCCTTAAGACTACAGAATCTGAGGGGGATTCCTATTTTGACGGCAGAATAAATCATTTTGTTCTTAATGTCTGCATTATTGCTTTTCTCGTGGTTCTGCTTGCCTTTTCACAGTTTCCAGTTTTTCCTTATTGCCATGGTGGTGAAGAAAACATCTTTAAATCCTTGAAAATCAAATTAAAGTCAGGAACTTTTTTTTTTTTCTACTTAATATTTTAGGAACTATTTCCAGGGAAGTGCCCTGGCATCCAGCCAAAACTCCTCCTCACAAACTGGAGAACTTGCTGGAAGCCGACCTTCCTATGTTTGACAATGAAATCTCAGCTTCCTGCATGATTATTTTCCCTTTTGTTTTCTTCTCAAGCAACTTTCTTTCCTAGGTGCACTTTACTAAAACCACAATCGTTTCTGCAGATGGAAATGGACCAAAAGATCTTGGAATAATACTGATTAAAGATTGAGATTCTGTCTTGGTTTTTTATTGCTGTTTGATTCGGCTTGTTTTTAGCTTAAAAAAAAAAAAAGCAAATACGTACTCAGTGCATTTGGGTTTCATTTGCTTGGCTGTTTGTTTGCTTGAGACAGAGCCTTGCTATGAAGCCAAGACTGGCCTCAATCTTTTAATCCTTCTTCTCCAGTCTCCCGTGTGCTAGCTACAGGCATACGCCACTACACTCGGGTTGGATCATTTCTAATGGCAGAATGCTGTAATAAGTACTTTAAAGTAATACAATTAGTGGAAACAATACTTTATTTAACAATTTTCATTTAAAAAAATAACCATCTTGAGTTTGCCTCCAAGAATAAGGCACCAGTTTCCGAGTAAGGAGAATGAAAATAAGTTTTGAGCCTAGCCCAC